CCGCCTCCAAGTATCGAAACTTCTTCGTCTGAGGAATCCGTCCGCCTAGCAAATAGAGGCAGTGCTTGTCGTATATGGTGGACATGTTCCGAGGCCGTTATTTAAACATGTTTTTGCTAGCTATTTCTATCGTTTCTTCAAGTAAAATTTGCTGGAAAAAATCCGCAATAGTTATGCATCAACCTAATAGTTGTGGACGCTGTTAATGCCAAGATCCCTCTTTCCATGTGTCAAAGCTTTTGGCGTATACGTTGTGTGTACGCGTGGGTACTGCAGTTACATAGAAACCCCATGCGATCTACAAAAAATTTTCCCAAAATTCTGGTCTAGTTTAGAATTTTCAGCAAATACTTTCCGTACAGTCTAATATGAAGATGATCAACTTTGCATGTAGATATTTTGAATGCGGTGCACATTTCTATTTCGCCTATTTTCTGGACTCGCCGGACTCGAAGCCTTGTGGTGTTTCAAAGAATACAAGTCATTACGTCACTATCGATTTAATTTTTGTATACTGTTGATGAAGGAAAAAGGATAAAGTCATGGGACTTTAACCAATCCCGTCTGAGGGATGCGCCACACATTCAACTTCTATTTAGAATCGTAGTGGCTATTGGATGTGTGTATGGCCTATACAATGAATTGCGGTGGCCAGCCGAGGTGCAAGTTAGCATTCTATCCTCCCAGACGAGTCTGGTACCAATTGACCGACCCTGGTAGGATGGAAGGCTTGGTTGGCCTGAGCAGGTATCGACCCGGGATTCGAAGCTGTGACCATGCGTGTGTGGAGTGCGCAACTTCTCACTACACCACCTTCGCCCTTAACTATTGATGCTAAATTTATTATCCTTGTTTTCTAGTCAAACGATACTCTATTATTGGACATTGCAAAGGAATGTTGGATTGATCTACTCTTGGTCATCCATATATGAAGAAATCCCATTAGTATCAGAATTTCTCGTGTACGACAGCCTCTTGCCTCACCAGTAAACCAGTAGAGGGATTATATGGTACGCAACCATTCAGTCCGACATTGTCATCAATTGTAAGTCAGGCGTAATCAACAACTTGCATCAAAGGTGTTCTCTAACTCTCCAACGCGTTAGGCATTCCGAAATCTCGCATTTGATGTTTATCTTGGCGAAAAGATGTCTTGGCGATCGGTGGCTGGCTGCCTACTACTTCAACGTCATCGACCCATTCCTTCCCCGGTGAAGCTCACCGTGCTTCAGTTGGTTTGGGCCATACCCTACCTTATGGTGAGTGCGTTGTAAAGCTGTCGTAAGCGTCATTACTTGGAATTTCCAAACCCAAACACAAGGAGAATGAGTGCGCTTTTTGTTTCTCGTGCACATCATTTCCTTGACTTGTAATATTCAAACATAGCGCTAATATTGCACCATTCAGCCCTTGTGTGCGCTATTTCTTTCAATTTGCAGAGAAACTAGTAGAAATTTGCAGCAGTTTTTATTTCTTTTATTAATATTATGTCAACTTTCCTGAATTCGTCTTACAAAACTCTGGCAGGAGAAAGGGCAGGGCAGCTTCATGGTTCGCACAGTGTTATGGTAAAAAAAACTAGTAATCCACGCAATAGCCGACTGTTTTATTGTTTTTTCTCCTACTTCCCCTTCGAATATCTAACTCATCCGCTATTATTTCATGTACTCTTAAAGAAAGAAATGGATTTAAGTAGTCAATCTAGTTATCTTCAAATATTTCCATCTTTCTACTTTCTTCATGCGTCCCGCTAGGCCGCAGGGAAGCGGTGAAGAAATTCAGACAACATTTGTAGATCTTTTGATATTTACTAGTGCAGTTTTCAAGTAATTTCGATCTTAAACCTATTATTTACTTACGTGGCACTCCACCGTACACGTTTTTGTTCTGTAATGAGAAAGATCCACTTCATATTCAAAATACTTCATAAATTTCGTTGCTACGGCCCGGTTATTTCGAAAGCCACCAACATTGTTACGTCCTGAGCTGAAACATTCTGAACCCTGAATTTCTTTATCCGAGAAAGGAGCAATCTCCGACCATGAAGACTCGGTTCGACTTGCCCAATACTTTGCCATACGGGAATGGAGAAAAAAGGAATCACTGGGCAGGCGAAAGATTTTTTAAAGTCATGTTTCGAGATTATTACGGCAATTACCAAAAATGCCTCGATGTGAGACATCGACCAGAAATCAACCTAGTCCCGTTCTTCTAAGGTGTTAGCTCTCTTACAATGTCAAATCGTTTTATCAGATTTCATCGTACCCCCACATTGAAGCAACGCCTTATGGTGATTCAGTCGCGGTGGTCTGGAAGAGAGACCTATAACTCAAGACATCACCTTTCCATAAAAAGGCTAACCCTACCAGAATTGTGCTGCCCGTTCTTGTTTAAGCGGTTAGATCATGCTGTTGTGCTTGTTGACAGTAATATTAGGTGTGTGCATTAACTTCCGCCGTTTTTTCGCGTGCAGAAACATATTTGTTACAAAATTAAGACCAAATGTACATTAACCAATGTTTTGTCAATCGTTCTACAACTTCTAGCCATCTTTCTGATATCTTTTTGACTCCGCATTCAAAAAAGTCTTCATCTTTTGAGGCAATCCTGTTATCCACCCATTTTCGCACTTCTTCGGCATTCCGGAAGCGTGTACCTGCCAAGCTGACTTGCATGGACCGGAATAGGTGGTAATCAGAAAGAGCAAGATCCCGAGAAGGACATTCTTCGCAACATGGGGTCTGGCATGTTTGTGGTGGAACAGCACCTCATGATGTTTTGTTGCGATTAACGGCCGCTTTCGGGTGAGAGCATCCTACGAACTGTTAAGTTGGTGTTCGTAGCGGTCAGCAGTAACAGTTTCGTTCAGGTTCAGCAGCTCATAGTACACAACACCCTTTTGATCCCACCACCAAATGCACACACAGCATTACTTTTTGCTTTACGCTTTCGTTGTAAACTCTCTAGTGAAGAGAAACCATCTCAGCAAGTTCGTTCGTATGGAGCTTGTCCTCTATAAGTATCTAGAAGCATCCGGAGGGCTTCAATGCCAATTTTCTTGAAATCAAACAGCAGGAGAAGGGTCCCCGGGAAAACGGTTTATCACGTTTCATGACCAGTCAGTCTGAGAGCAACGGGTTTCTAGGGAAAATCTGTCTGCCCTTAATTAGGTAGCCAATACCCTACCTTACAGAACATGTCAGGTTTCACCGGTAAACCTCTAACATGGTTCGCGCAACGGCCCTTGGAATTCAGCGGCGGAAATTAATGCACACACCTAATAGTTTTACTAATACCTAATGGGACTGACGAAAACAGCCCACAAGGTATGAGTCCTAGTTGGTCCAGACAATCTCAAGGTATATTAGCAGTAGTTATACATGCTGTATATTGTAAGCCTAGGTGTGACCAGGATCTGACCGTCAGATCTCATCCGTATTCCGTGTAAGTTGAGAGCTATCAGGCTGTACTTGCTAGAATTTGAGAGTACAATTGTATTTGTGCTCGGTATTCATATCTGACAGTGGTCCTTGATAATTCCACATTCATACATTCACAACGCTATGCTAAACGGGCTATCTCTTGGAGTGGCTAACTTGTAATCCTTTTATTGCTGATAAAATCAATCCAACCAGCGCATCAGTTCTACCAGGCTAATACCACTCTAGATAATCCTGTTTCACAGGAATAATGACGGATCATTTGGACTTTAATGCACTTCAAGCCCGAGCTTTAAACCTAGCTACCCTTCCTACTGTAGTAGTGTTGACTAGCGGATGTAATTTCAACGGCATTCGAAGATGTGCAGATTTACGTGAGCCATGTTTCGTGAGTTTGTTTCATTTGTAGACAGCGAGAATAAATGAAGAACCGCAGGCCATTGTGAGTTGCGCGCTGTATGTATTCTGCACCCTAGAGACGTTGTTTTAATGCTTCAGCTTTCTTTTAGTTTCTCATGTTATATGAATAGATCGCACTCTCTCCTTAATGTCAAGCTCACTATAGAAGCTCATTCTCATTGTCAGTAGCATGGGACACTTATCCGTCTCTTTGGTTTGTAGAACGAACCACACCTTCCATTACATAGTTTCGACCCAAGGAGCCTTCCCATCCACTGTTTTAACGGTCAGATCACCCCACTGGCGAATTGTCAGAGACAAATTTTATCCCTGGTAAAAATAGGCCAACAGGAACATAATTCTTAGCCGAGTAAATTACGTCAGAGGTGCGTGATCATTAGGTTTATGTATAATACATGCCAGATTTCGAGGGACCCAGTGTGACAAAGAATGGGTCGTCCGATTTTGAGCGTATTACCTGTACGTTTCATTGTTTCAGAAATTACATGTGAACAAAACTCGATCGTCAGATCTAAACTATATTCTTTGATATTGGGAATTACCACGTTGTACTTGCTGATGGAGAAACCCAGTCAAAAGAAGTGTCCAAATCTTGAAGGAATCAGTAATAAAGCTGGTATGTGAAGCACGAGACCTGCGCCAGAGGTCGTGGAAAGTGTGCGAGGGCTACCGAGGAGTGAACTACCTGGACCAAAAAAAGTTAGTTCGTACTGGGACTCTAAACGTAGGATCGCTTACTGTGACGTCCCGAGAGGTTGCTGATCTAACGAAGCGCAAGAATACCCAACACCTACGCCATCAGGAGTCACGCTGGAACAGAGCAAAGTCCAGGGAAACCGGAGAGAGTATCAGGCCCCTGACAAGACCCTTTAAAAGAGTCTAGCTAGTACGGAAAGCGCCAGCTGCAAAAGTATAGTGTGGCCTGGATAATTGATTTCAAATGCTTTTGTAACATTTTCCAAATTCCACACATTTCCATAGCAACCGGATACTTCCTCATTCCATCATCTTTATCATTATTGGAAACCTCAGTCGCCATCCAATTACAAAATTACAGGTCAATCGCATAGAAAAAAGTTGACCTCATTTTCACATAGCTTGCAGTCGGATTGTCAACGAATAAATTGCATATTAAATAAGATGTGTACCAATAATTCATTTGAGGTCGCCAATTACCTTGAACGTTCCTTGCTGCCATTCCGCGTGCTATGCTACACTCAGAACGATCTTCTATCATCGAAGCCACTTCGCAGTGAAGCGTCAGAGTGTGAGGAGATTTCATACATAAGATAGTGGATAAGAATATAAGAAAGCTTCAGGTGTACATCAGTTCTTTCCGAATCGATCGCCAGAGCCGAACTGTGTGCTTTCTAGTAAGCCGGAAATTTTGATACGACCACAGCTGCCGGAAACTCCTCAACGAATACTATTCATTAGAACTGGACCTAAATCTGTTGATTATCGAAACTTCATCAGGGAGACATGGAAGACACAGGTGAAATTAAACAAATTTGCTATTGTTGTGAACCGAGTGTGCATGGAAGTAAGCTGATGCAAGAAATTGTACAATTGAGGGAACTACCTCTACGTCAGATTAAACTCATGGGCTATTGTTTGCGGCGCGCATAATGTTGAGACCTTGTTATGAAACGCTCCCGAATCCCGGATGACAGCTGCCCTTCCCACTCACTAAGCTAGAATTCACGCACCGGAACTTTGTCTGCGACACGGAGTCAAACAGCGCTTGATTTATCGCCAGAGTAAAATGAATAATAGTAAAAATGGACAAAGTCGCCATTCGGAGGGGACGACATATTGTAGTGGTAGTTATGATGTTTGGAAGCAATACGAATGGTAAAAAATCTGAGTTTTATATCATAAGATAGCCTCAAAATCCTAGTTCCGAGGAACCCTGGCTTTTGCTGGGTAACAAGGTTAAAAACGTGACGCCCCTGACTTGGGCTAGAGGGCATTGTATTGTCAAGGTACCCTTTTTAAGTCGTAGAACAAAAGTATTGGTCAGGATGAGTGCATCGGCGGTGGAAAAAGCGAGAAATATACCGATTTCGCGAAAAATAAAGCTTCCCAAAAGTGGTGAGAGTAGAGGATGTAGGAGATTGGGACGGAAATGACATGGAAGGGGTATTTGGTGGAGATTTCAGTGGTTGCAATTGCGCGAATAGCTGACTACATCAAGTTAAAGCTGTCCTGAATTGCCTTTACCTGCCGCTTGCCGCTATGGTTCATGACATGTTGGTTGAACTTCCTACATGAGGGCCCCTGTGAATGGTGCAGCCTCTACAATGCCATTGTAACTCGACCGCGTTTGCACACGGTACAAATTTGAGCCTTTATAACACCCTATCTAGGCCGTGTGCCGACCTGATAGCACCAGATATGTGAGGAGGCCTCGAATTCATCCTTTGGTGGAGATCTCAGAAATCATTTTATCATGCCTGTGCCTTTAACTAAACCGACAGTAACTGATGATGCTACATGTACTTTAACGTTCCAAATCATGAAATTGCTGCTGCCTTACTTCTTTGTGCACAAAGGAGACAGTTAGTAATCGCCGAATATTTGAAAAAATAATAGGTAGATCTGATCGCACCTGCTGTGTTCGTATGTGCAATGGGCACTGACAATCTTACACTGGAGGCTGATCAATTTGGAGGTAATCTTTTCAAATGGATTTGCGGACGGCTGCAAAAGTAATGAATTCTCGATGTCCAGACATACTACAGTTCGCCTTTGACGATTCATATCACAATTTGTCCATGAAAATGATGGCTATTTATGGATTCGTTCTGAGCGAATTACCTTCGATTCATGACATCGTTGTCACAAACGACGACACAATAGTTAATGCTACCGCTTTATCAGAGGTAATTTCTGTAGAGCGACTTCTTATAGACTGCCAGTATCAAAACACTGGGACTCGAGAAACCTATGATTCACTTTTTTTTAGGTTCTTCTCAGCAGGAGGACTGGTTCATGGATGATAGGCAAGGTTTCTAGAGGGTACCCACGATTATTCATGCCTTGGTTACCCTGGCATGTTTCTGGTGAAATGTATACCAACCTATGTTATCCTCGTTTCACTCAAGTGAGCAACATTTTCTTATTTTTAGAGGATGACGTGTATGGCGTTAATCATTCCTGTTTTGGGGTGCGCATCCACATTGGACTTATATTCAGAATTTTACCAGGGAAGGGTTTCAACTCCCCATGGAACTTTGAATAGAGAACTAAGTATATCGATAGGGCTTGGAAAGCTTTTAACAAATTTGGGCATTAAAAGTGCTAAATGAGTCTAGGTGATCGCAAATGATGGCCAAATTAAAACGATATGTTGAATTAGTAACAAGGAATCCAGTTTTGCCACCCACCATACATACTCCCATCCTGTCTACAGTAATCCTGCCAAATTTAAACGCTCTAGGTCCATGGAGTCAGTAGATATGATTTGCCGCTCAAATTTCGGGTGTATGTCGTTTGGCGCGGTGGGCGGGGTCGCGCCGCCCATTTGAGGCGGCGCGACTCCGCCCATCGCACCNGGTGCGATGGGCGGAGTCGCGCCGCCTCAAATGGGCGGCGCCACCCCGCCCATCGCGCCAAACGACCGCCTCCCCAAATTTCGCACTGTACCCGCCCACTGTGGGCCGAGTCTGGTCCTGCTAACCTCCATAAGTGTTCCCATCCTGCCTCCCCCCACACTCCTACCAAGTTTGAACGCTCTAGGTCCACGGAGACAGGACTTATGAATTTGCGACCCAAAATTTCTATCGCGCACGCCTCGCCCCCTGTGAACGGGCTCCGGTCCCGCCAACAACCATAAGTGTTGCCATCCTGCCCCGTGCTCCTACCAATTTTGAACACTCTAGGTCCATGGGGACAGGAGCTGTGAATTTCCGTTCGGACACACACAAACACAAACACATAAACACACAGATAAACGAATAACATAAAGTAGGGTTGTAGGATCATATTATTATGGCACGGTGCGTGTTCAGCTTTCTCTCGCTCACAAAATTCACAGAATCGCTTCATTTCAACATTAGATCTTCAATACTTAGTGAATAGGCCGCTAGAGACTTTTGTTCAAATGTATTGGTTATTCCACTCCTCTAATTAAGACTCGTCCGATCGCAACCAAATGGTTGGGAGGGGATCCTCGAACCATTCATCTAGCAGTGCCCTTGTTCATTTCACGCTGCCTTCACCCTAGGTCCCCAAAAAAAGGGAAATAAAGGTGAAGCTGCCACCAGGAATCGTGAAAGAAATGGAAGTAAAGCAGGAAATAGAAAATGCGAAATAATCATAACTAGCACTGAATCAATTATAACAAAGAAATAATGCCTACTAATAGATGAATCAGATGAACTTCCTCAACTGACGAGGGGAACAATGTAACTAGCAGTGCTCACTGTCAGATGCATAGATATTCTAGTAAAACTACTGACTGTATTGTTCAGGGGTCATCATTTATCTTGTCACGAAGTGCGGCACAAGTACTCATCGAGAACGTTTGCAAAACACCGTTTGTACACCTTGACGACATTCTCATGGGTAGAAATTTATATAAATATGAGTTGTTCGTTGTATCACCTCTGCTTTTCAGGAATAATCGCCTCTTGCGCTCGATTAGAGCAACTCCACCATGGTGGTTTCGATAAGCACATCCTTGCCGATTTTGTTGTTTACCACTACCAATATTCTCGCCACTCTCCTCGCCACCTGCGACAGCTTTGGAGCTCGATCTCAAATCACTTCCAACAAAGTGACAAGTCAAATATACTGCGATAAATGAACGGTTCAAGATATGTATTCTGAACAGCTGAAGGTAAACAACTCACCTGTGCAGCATGTGAGAAATAATGACAATTCAATCAACAAATCTTTATCTTATCAACAATACATCAAAATATTAGGTTGGAAGGAAAATCCTGCAACAAAATGAAGGTATTTTTCAAAGCATTTCTGAAATTTTCCAAGCCAATCAGTTTTCGGAAATATATTTACCAAAGAGGTCAACAACCTTCTATTATCCTTTGAGTAAATCACTGATGCCTTTTATCCACAAGTGAGGGAGCTGTGATTCAAAAAAGTAATTGACTGATGTTTTCAGATCACATTAAGCTACGAATTTTTTACACAGCGGGATGCTCAAGAAGGAGGAGCGCATGGTAGGTAAAAGGGGCAACACTTGGGGAGTACGACTGATGAACAACTTGGAACCGATTAGAATCGTAGAACTTTTGACGCGTGTTTGAAGCCAAATTTCGACGTGCGCTGTCCCTCTGTAGGGACCTGATTTATGGTTTTGATCGTCCTTCTCTAACCGTGTTGACCGAAACTCGGGTTTCATAAGGATAAGAGATAGCTGTGTCCATCTAATCTGCGCTTAGCAACTCATAGTGGATGGATCCCTCCGACCTTCATTGAATTAAGGGACGATGCTTACGTAACTTCGAAGGCTATATCTCCTGCAGTGAAGCAATCGAACCGATTGTTGACCGTTGATCGGTGAGCAGTGCCAGCATTGAATAGGTTGCTGATAATTTGAGCTGTTACACCCGCGTTTTTCCCTTGGCGTGCTTAGAAGAAGGTGATGGTACGAATCGGATATTGTCCATTTATTGACCGTAATGTGCTTAAGCCCAGCGTGCCCTTAATTACTCATGTGTTGGTTACCTAAGGAATGTCCTACAAGTTTATCACTCTTGCTACCGTGTTCACACTGTTGATACGATTTGCTGACGCTTCAAATTTTTTGTTGCAGGACTTTCCTTCCAACCCAATAACAAGTATCACCAGTAACCTAGCTACACGCTCTATTTAGTTCATCTTTCTTCTTGATTGTAGAGCTGTTCGAAGATGATTTTTTGACATTGATGTTTTGAACAGAAATGCACTCTGCGATGCTCTTGGCATTGCGGAATGCAGATTCTGGAGCACCAGCACACATCAACCTATCATAGGATGGACGCAGTCGAAGGGAAACCAACTGTCCTGTGAAAATCTTTTTCAAACGGAAGATACACGAGAACCATAAGATAACAACATATCTGTAGCATCATTGAGTCATGACGCTACAGAATGAGGTCCTGAGAGAGCTAGAAATTTCAGATCATCCTCCTATAGCCCTAAATTAGCCAATTCTGAGTACCACCTATTCTTATCCCTCAGCCGCCATTTTGCTTCAAGCAATACAATTCTCCGAAATGCCTCAAAAGCGACCTGACATTTCAGTGGTAGCGAGGTACCACTGTCTGCTGGGTCGGTTGCAACAAGTTCTTTTAGGCTCAGTTCACGACAAAAATGGTTTTTGGGATTACCCGGGTGTGGTGCGATTCACGCGTCAATATAATGAGGTCATCGGACAAAACGCGCTAAAACCTCATGCCTACCATCATAGCGAAAGAAATAAGAACTTATTAGTAGAATAAGTAAAGAAATGTCTAACTATGCACGTTTACAGAAGGATTGCGTTTTCTAGGATCAAAAGAAATTGAAGGTATTCTTATTTTGAACGTTTGACGAGTAAATTGTTGACCTCTGAGGTAAATTCTCAATCTCGAAGGGGCTTTTTTGCCATAGTAATGAGATTTGCTCCATTCATGGTGAAGCCGTGGACTACTGCAAATTTATTTGGTCCATCTCAACAGAAAGGTACTGAAACGATGCTGCGTGCGCTAGGAGTTCTAATGGGGTCACGCGTGATTCGCGCGCCCCCCGGGATTATCCCATAGAATGGACGCACCCTTGTATACCATATCTGACGCTATCAGGTCCGAAATGGCCTAGCTAGGGCGTTATAAAGGCTCAAAAATTGTACCGTGTGTATTCTCGGACAAGTGTCACCAGCATTGCAGGGGCTGCACCATTCACAAGGGAACCCAAGTAGGAAGTTCAAGAAACCTGTTATGACCCATAGCGACAGTGACAATTCTTCACAGTTCTGGCCTGATGTAGTCAGCTCTTTGCGCAATTGCAACGACTGAAATCTTGTCCAAATACCCCTTCCATGTCATTTCCGTCACGGAAATCTCCTACATCCTCTATTCTCACCACTTTTGGGAAGCCTTATTTTTCGCAAAATCGGCGATTTTTCTTGCTTCTTCCACCGCCGGTGCACTCATCCCGACCAATACTTTTGCTTTTCGTCTTAAAAAGGGTACCTCAATATTATCGTGAACTGTGTCTTCAAGATCGCACGTACTAATGGTTTTAGAAGTGGAGCTAGCTCGAGAGACGGGTTTAGCAACCATTTACACATCCACCACTTCCATGTAATTCCCGTCATCGTAATCTCGTCCAACCTCTATTTCCCCTATTTTTGTGGAGCCTTATTTTGTACAAAGTCGGCGAATCTTCTTGCTTTTTCGCTACCGATTAACTATTACCTCAAATTATCGTGAACTGTGCCTTTGAAGGCACAGTTCACGATAATTTCGAGGTAACCTTTTCAGGTAGAAAAGTGGAAGTGTTGATGTAGAGGAGTACATCGGTAGCGAAGAAAGCGAGAGAATCCATCTACTTCAAAGCTTTTTAAAAGTAGTGGACATGAAGGTTGTACGAGATCATCGTGACAGTAATGACATGTAAGGGGTGTTTGAGCCAAATTTAGCTTGCTCCCATTTCTCAAAGAGATGACTACATCAAGCTGAAATTGTCCGAAACCGCCTTTCAATGTCGCCAGATTATGACAAGTTGTTTGAAATTCCTACGTGGAAGCTCTTGAGATAGTGCAGCCTCCACAAAGCCCTTGAAACTCGTCCAGGATGGATGTGGCATTCACACGATACAATCTCTGGCCCCTTAATGTGCCCTACCCATGACGTTTTTCAACTTCGTACTGGCACGTATGGTATGAGGGGAAGCCTCGAATCAATACTATGGGAACAATTTCCAGAGACCATTTTTATCGTGAATTGTGCCTTTAATAGTGGTCGTGCATGTATTGTGCATTGATATTTGATTTGTTAAAATAATGTTAAATCAAATAAAGGTTAGAATTTTGCATGAACTCTCACGCTTCCAATGCAAGCGTCTACGTACTAAAAGTACGAATCGCCCTCTTAGTCATTACCCTTCTAAATAGCATGATATGAGCAAACTCTCCCCAGTGGTTCTTCCCGATGCTGCCATATTGCGGGCTCTCCCAAGAACAGAGAATGAGGACTATTTATGTTACTGCTTTGAGCATTTGGATTTTCACATGTCTCGTGCAAGGCTCTGATATGATGCTGGGTCGCCTTCGAGCAGCTAGCCACGCGATCCCAGAGCGGACAAGGGACTTGTTAGAAGCAGCCCCGAATAGCCTTCGAGATCGCTTCCTAGTCATTCCAGGTGATGTTGGTAGGTGTACAGGTGACAGGATGGGAACGATGACGGCAGCTAGTATGAGCCGACTTCGCCCACAGGATGCGGATCGTGCTGAACATTGATAATTTGAAATTGGGCGTCTAAATAGGATAAAGGGATCAGGCGGGCGTTTAAATTTGGTAGAAGTATAGCTGGCGGTATGGGAATACTGATAGGCGGTGGCACGATTACACCTCGCCTACAGTGGACGGGACTTGCGCGAAAATAGCTTATTTGGACCCGGGGCGTTCAAATTTGGTACGAGTGCAGGCGGCAGGATTAGGACCATGATGGTAGAAGAAAGTGACTAGACTGCCTCCACCCGCGGCAGTATACCAGCGTGAAACCAGCGTAATCTGAGTGAAAGTACGTAGTCAAGTTCGAATAAGAGAGGATGAACCGTTCTACTCGACACACACAACTTGAGCAGGACTTCGTCCGCGGCTGGCGGGGCACGCATGAAGTGTGTCGGATTGTGTTTCACTGGAAATCAACAGCTCCTGTTCTCTCGGAAGAGTGCTTCTAAACTAGGTTGTATGCACGCGGTGGGCCAACTTTAACACAAGAAGGAGCAGGGTCCGGCATTGGTTGGATCGACTCGTTACCTAATAGAGATACCGAAACTACACAAATGATTTGGGCCTATAACTCAATTGTAATCGGATACCGACTCAAAAACACCAGCACTCCGAAAATANCGGCGCTGAAACAGCAGGCCTCTGGCATCCGGTTGTGGCTCTTGTACCCGGACGATGCGCCATGGTCGCCGCATCCGAACATAAGCCGTGAAAGGAAAACCTCAGTTTTCAGTCGGTGTAGCTCGAATCCGACTACACTTGCGCAAGAACAAAAAATAATTCATGAACCAAACCTCCCGACACTGGAACCCTTCTGTTCAGGAAGAGGGAAGGCTTATTGTTAGTAGCACACCGTATCTTGCCCAATTGAGCAGTAATGCCTTTTGAAGTAACTTCTCGTATTAGTACGACATTTTAGTCATGGCACGGGAAAACGAAAACTACTAACTCTTTAGAAGAATCAAAAACAAAAATACAGTGAGGGAACGCTACTCTTACATGAATTCGGCAGTTTCTCGGTCTTTCGGGTCTAACTCCAACACCTGACAGCGAGGCAACACAACCACGAGAACATGGAACCCGTGCCCTTGTCCGAGATATTTTTCATGCGTCGTATAGGTTACGGCTGGTTGAAGACGTCGATCATGTGGCACGAGTGATAAAGTGTATGACTGCTTCCAGAGTTCAACGAAGTGCCCACCGACCGATCGACCGACGGCGGCGCTAGCCACTTGTTGACAACAGTCGACGATCGGCGACGGGTGACTCATCGACGTCCACTGTTGTCATCACGTGACTAGCGCCGCCGTCGATCGGTCGGTCGGTCGGTCAGTCGGTGGGTAGGTGAGCACGTCGTTGAACTCTAGAAGCAGCCTATGAATTCATTGGAAAGTCCGGAGATGGCGATTTGGATGGCTCTGGTGTTTATAATCAAGTCATAAAGCGTGTACACAAAACATCGTTGAGGCACAGAGTTGAAGGGGCCTATTAAGGAAGCAAATCAATTTGATCGATATAAGAGAATCACATCTTATTCGCCACACGATCTGCCGCTTGTCTCTGGACGCAACAATGTTTCGTTTCCCGGCAGAAACAAGTGATACCCTAAAGGGTCAACTACCAACCGTGGGTCTGGTTGCCAAAGGTTTTTTTCGATGAGTCACAACTGTTACGAGATCAAGTTGTGTGCTGTGCAATAATAGGATGTCATGCTATGACATGAAATATGTTGTCGGTTAATAAACTCTAGGCGAAAAGGAATGGAAAGGCGTAAAAAGAGAGTGGCAAAGAAACTAATACTCCGTAGTGTGTCTATTAAATAAGAAGGTACGGAGCATCGGTTGAGGTGTCGAGTGATTTCGAAAGCAGTAGCAACATCTGAAGTTCACGCGAGAAATTACGTAACTTGAAAAAATTCACTCGGAATTCGGGATGTAATAAGCTGCCCCAGTGCATGGCCTCGACGCAACCGCTTCCGTACCAGCAAAGTCTCTCTGTGGCGTTCAAGTTACTTCCGAAGGAACCATTCCAATTTCTAAACCACCTATAGAGCTTGGACGACATGCGAGCGGTTATTCAGCGTGTGGCAAGGGCATCCGTTAAAGTCGGAGAGGAAGTAGTGGGTTCGATTTTCTTGTATTGCGTTTTCATCCATGTTTTGTTCTGTTGTAAAAGGGATAACTGGGCGAGGACTAATGATCCAAATCTCTATAATTACCTAAACCACCGTGCAAATGTAGTCCAAGGGAGAGGAGCACATTGAAACGCTCAGTTCCACCGCCGCCGACAAAACCGGGTCACTTCGCACTGTCGCGCGGCCCATGACCCCACGTTTTGAGGTGGTTAAGTTCCCTGGTTCCGTAGTTTGAATTATTTTCCCGCTTGCGGACTTCAGATTACCATATGGAGCACAGTTGGTTGCTAACTCCGCTTGGGGTGCTTAGAGGACGGAAAATTCGCCCAATTCTGGGTGGACTACCCACACCATTTGGCATCTTGCTAGTGAGCAATTTTCTGCAACTCATCGCCTAACTACTTCATTTACGCTGTATTCTGCTTCCACATCGATTCTTTGCTGGAAGATCTCGCCCGACTCGATCACTTTAAGTGTGAACGCTGCAGGTATGCAAGCTAACTAAGTCTCCCTCTCCAGCTTTACCAGTTGTCGTGAGGATTTGCAGCACGGTCTTGGTGAGGTTTCGAGGGAAGGACGGTGTCGTTTCTTTTGAAGCTTCAAACCTCGGTTTCCTATCGTCTTCTGTTAGTAAACGGTTTTATTCAGTAACATGCGACATGTTTACTTTGTTCTTACTTATTATAAGTTATCAGTTTTCCTTAGTTCTCAATATATATTTGCGTATATACGTATTGATTTCCCACGTTTTTATTTATTTCTCATTGGGCCCTTCAAGTTGCATTCAAATCGACGTGCTTGACAAAGCAACTAGGAAAATACCTTTCAATGTAAACATATAAAGCGATTTGAGCGTTTTTCGCATTAGGGAGACAGATTGGTGAGTCTCATTGTCCTTGGTTTTCAGGTTAGTTCGATTGGGCGTGGAGTTTGCGTGTTCGTCGGTATTTCGAGAGATGATAAGGATGATGACATAGAGTACATAGTTCGGAAAATTTTGAATGTGCGTTTGTTTGCGTCCGAAAACAAGCGGTGGGATAAGTCCGTCAAGGATGAAGGGCTGGAGATTCTCTGCGTCAGTCAGTTCACACTCTATGGTTTCTTGAAGGTAAGGATTACTTTATTGGTGGTGGCCTATATGTTTGTTTTAAGAGGTTTCCATCTAATTAGACAAATGAATACGTTTTCCTTGGCTAGTACTTCATTTTTCTTAACCATTTGTATTTATTAATTTTGGCAGATACTCGACTGAGACTTCGAGACAGAAATATTTTTTATGGACCAGGGTTTAATGTGAATTTCAAAGAAACCCCGTATATCTAGCTGCTCTCTCTCCCTCTCTCTATCCCTCTCCCTCTCCCTCTCCCTCTCCCTCTCCCTCTCCCTCTCCCGCTTCCTCTCCCGTTCCCGTTCCCGCTCCCTCTCCCTCTCCCTC